GTCTGAGGACACACAGTCTGAGGACACAGTCTGAGGACACAGTCTGAGGACACACAGTCTGAGGACACAGTCTGAGGACACAGTCTGAGGACACACAGTCTGAGGACACACAGTCTGAGTACACAGTCTGAGGATACAGTCTGAGGACACAGTCTGAGGACACACAGTCTGAGAATACAGTCTGAGGACACAGTCTGAGGACACACAGTCTGAGGACACAGTCTGAGGACACAGTCTGAGGACACAGTCTGAGGACACACAGTCTGAGAATACAGTCTGAGGACACAGTCTGAGGACACAGTCTGAGGACACACAGTCTGAGGACACAGTCTGAGGACACACAGTCTGAGGACACACAGTCTGAGGACACAGTCTGAGGACACACAGTCTGAGGACACAGTCTGAGGACACACAGTCTGAGGACACAGTCTGAGGACACAGTCTGAGGACACACAGTCTGAGAATACAGTCTGAGGACACAGTCTGAGGACACACAGTCTGAGGACACAGTCTGAGGACACAGTCTGAGGACACAGTCTGAGAACACACAGTCTGAGGACACAGTCTGAGGACACACAGTCTGAGGACACACAGTCTGAGGACACAGTCTGAGGACACACAGTCTGAGGACACACAGTCTGAGGACACACAGTCTGAGGACACACAGTCTGAGTACACAGTCTGAGGACACACAGTCTGAGGACACCGTCTGAGGACACACAGTCTGAGAATACAGTCTGAGGACACAGTCTGAGGACACAGTCTGAGGACACAGTCTGAGAACACACAGTCTGAGGACACAGTCTGAGAACACACAGTCTGAGGACACAGTCTGAGGACACAGTCTGAGGACACACAGTCTGAGGACACACAGTCTGAGGACACAGTCTGAGGACACAGTCTGAGAACACACAGTCTGAGGACACAGTCTGAGGACACACAGTCTGAGGACACACAGTCTGAGGACACACAGTCTGAGGACACAGTCTGAGGACACACAGTCTGAGAACACAGTCCTCCCCCATCCTTCCTCTACCTTTATCTCTAGATCTCTTTCACTGTTTCCTCCCTCCCTCTCATCATAGGGGAGGAGTCAGCAGGCAGAGGATGCTGTCAGGTTGCCGTGGTTTCACCCTCTTATTTCTTGTGGCGGCTGTAGTCAGGGATGTATCTGTGTGTATGTGCGTGGCTGAAGGTTGTGTGAGATTTGTGTGTGTGTGTATATGGGTGAGAGAGAGAGAGAGAGAGAGAGAGCTGTGATTCTTACAACTGTCAGGATATATGACAGGAGGGTGATAGGACGAAGGGAAGAATGAGAGAAAGGAAGGGAGGAAGGAGGTGTTGAAGGGTGGATGTGGATTAACGTCGCTGCAGAAGAGAATCACAGCGAGTCATCGTTTCCTTTGAGCTGCAGAGAGAACGACAGGAAGCTTCATCACTCCATCTTTGTTTGTGCACTGGCTGAGGGAGGCAGAGGAGGAGGCAAAAAGAGAGAGAAGGGTAGGAAGACAGGAGGAGGCAAAAGAGGAGAAAACAAAGGTGGGTAAGAAGGAGGAAAAGAAAGAGGAAAGGACGGGGGGAGCTGAGAGGTAGAAAGAAGGAAACACGGAAGGGGACACACAAGGCAATATGAAAGGAGTCACTAAAGGATGCAAACATTGAGGCAAAAAAGGTGATATTGAAGGAGACAATAAAGGAGACAATAAAGGAAACAAAAAGAAGAGATGGAGAGAGTCTAAGTCCTAACTGGTAAGCCTCCTCTTACCCCCTCCCTAAAGTTCACATGTTTAATGTGTTCACATGTTTAATGTGTTCACATGTTTAATGTGTTCACATGTTTAAGGTGTTGACATGTTTAACGTGTTCACATGTTTCACATGTTTAATGTGTTCACATGTTTAATGTGTTCACATGTTTAAGGTGTTGACATGTTTAACGTGTTCACATGTTTCACGTGTTCACATGTTTAAGGTGTTCACATGTTTAACGTGTTGACATGTTTAACGTGTTGACATGTTTAACGTGTTCACATCTTTAATGTGTTCACATGTTTAACGTGTTCACATGTTTAACGTGTTCACATGTTTAACGTGTTCACATCTTTAATGTGTTCACATGTTCACATGTTTAACGTGTTCACATGTTTAACGTGTTCACATGTTTAACGTGTTCACATGTTTAACGTGTTCACATGTTTAAGGTGTTGACATGTTTAATGTGTTCACATGTTTAACGTGTTCACATGTTTAACGTGTTGACATGTTTAACGTGTTGACATGTTTAACGTGTTCACATGTTTAATGTGTTCACATGTTTAATGTGTTCACATGTTTAAGGTGTTGACATGTTTAACGTGTTCACATGTTTCACGTGTTCACATGTTTAAGGTGTTCACATGTTTAACGTGTTGACATGTTTAACGTGTTCACATGTTTAACGTGTTCACATGTTTAACGTGTTCACATCTTTAATGTGTTCACATGTTTAACGTGTTCACATGTTTAACGTGTTCACATCTTTAATGTGTTCACATGTTCACATGTTTAACGTGTTCACATCTTTAATGTGTTCACATGTTCACATGTTTAACGTGTTCACATGTTTAACGTGTTGACATGTTTAACGTGTTCACATGTTTAACGTGTTCACATGTTTAATGTGTTCACATGTTCACATGTTTAACGTGTTCACATGTTTAACATGTTCACATCTTTAACGTGTTCACATGTTCACATGTTTAAGGTGTTGACATGTTTAACGTGTTCACATGTTTAAGGTGTTGACATGTTTAACGTGTTCACATGTTTAATGTGTTCACATGTTTAACGTGTTCACATGTTTAACGTGTTCACATCTTTAACGTGTTCACATCTTTAATGTGTTCACATGTTTAACGTGTTCACATGTTTAACGTGTTCACATCTTTAATGTGTTCACATGTTCACATGTTTAACGTGTTCACATGTTTAACGTGTTCACATCTTTAATGTATTCACATGTTTAACGTGTTCACATGTTTAATGTGTTCACATCTTTAATGTGTTCACATGTTCACATGTTTAACGTGTTCACATGTTTAATGTGTTCACATGTTTAATGTGTTCACATGTTTAATGTGTTCACATGTTTAAGGTTTAATGTGTTCACCTGTTTCATGTGTTCACATGTTTAACGTGTTCACATGTTTAACGTGTTCACATGTTTAACGTGTTCACATGTTTAACGTGTTCACATGTTTAAGGTTTAATGTGTTCACCTGTTTAACGTGTTCACATGTTTAATGTGTTCACATGTTCACATGTTTAATGTGTTCACATGTTTAATGTGTTCACATGTTTAACGTGTTCACATGTTTAACGTGTTCACATCTTTAATGTGTTCACATGTTCACATGTTTAATGTGTTCACATGTTCACATGTTTAATGTGTTCACATCTTTAATGTGTTCACATCTTTAATGTATTCACATGTTTAACGTGTTCACATGTTTAATGTGTTCACATCTTTAATGTATTCACATGTTTAACGTGTTCACATGTTTAACGTGTTCACATCTTTAATGTGTTCACATGTTCACATGTTTAACGTGTTCACATGTTTAACGTGTTCACATCTTTAATGTGTTCACATGTTCACATGTTTAACGTGTTCACATGTTTAATGTGTTCACATCTTTAATGTGTTCACATGTTCACATGTTTAACGTGTTCACATGTTTAATGTGTTCACATGTTTAAGGTTTAATGTGTTCACCTGTTTAATGTGTTCACATGTTTAATGTGTTCACATGTTTAATGTGTTCACATGTTTAACGTGTTGACATGTTTAAGGTTTAATGTGTTCACATGTTTAATATGTTCACATGTTTAATGTGTTCACATGTTTAATGTGTTCACATGTTTAACGTGTTCACATGTTTAATGTGTTCACATGTTTAACGTGTTCACATGTTTAAGGTTTAATGTGTTCACATGTTTAATGTGTTCACGTGTTTAAGATGACCATATGGATTCTATATTACGGTCCGCATAGGGACTTGAACTGGTGACCCTCCAGCTCCCAACCCAAGTCCCTACGCACTGAGATACTTTTGCCCCTCTGATGTATGAGACTAACAAACATTAACATGTTATCATACATATAATAACACATGTTTGTTATTATATACAGTGTATACTGCTCTTATCCTATTCCCCTTTATCTTTTTCTCTTCCTCATTTCCTATCAGAGGGAAGCTGGTCCCCTCATCTTCTATATGTCCTCCTCCCCATCCCCCTCTGCCACTTCCTCTTTTCCTCCTCCTCTTTCACTCTACCTCCTCCACCCCTTCTCGTCTTCCACCTTCCACTTCTTGGCCTCTTCTTCTTCAGCTACTCTTCCTCATCTGTGGACAGGAAGCATTACATCATGCTCCCCTGAGAGATGCTGCTGTTGCTAGGTTACCTTCAGCTGACTCCCTGTTCCATTTTTAGACCTACGCTCAGAGAAGGTGGGGGAGGAGAGTGAGTGAGAGAGTGAGAGGGCGAGCGAGTCAAAGAGAGAGAGAGAGAGACCGAGAGGGTGAGCGAGTGAGTGAGAGAGAGAGAGAGAGAGAGAGAGAGAGAGAGAGAGAGAGAGAGAGAGAGACCGAAAGGGCGAGCGAGTGAGAGAGAGAGAAAAAGAGAGACAGAGAGTGGACTGCTGACTGGCAGGGTTTGAGTCCTCATCAGTTGTTATAAAATAAATGTTGCTCAAACAACCACATGCTCTGGGTCTCATTTGTCCCACATGTGATCTTTAAAGTCAGCCTCTCTGCAGGATCCAGATGTGAGCCCCATCTTTACTCATTCAAATAAAATGTTCAAACACCGTCCATTCACAGCTGAAAACCTCCCTTAGCTCGACCTCTTCATCGGTCTCCTATCCTCCTATCATCCCTGTCTCAGTTTTGTTTTTGTTTTGTTCTTTGCCTGGTCCCTCCACCATGTTATGTGTCATTTGGTCCCTTGAAAGGTGCTATATTACTTCAATCGATTATTGTACATTGAGTCCTTCATCTATGGGTTTCATCAGGGAAAGTTGCTTCTCGCAGCTCAAGCGCCCAGCTCTCTTCATCAGCAGGTGAGCTGTGTCCAGCCAGCTTTGACCAAATTCATAGATTAGTCTCTGTTTTCTCCTTTCCTCCCTACGAGTTCTATTTCAGGAACCCCTTTGGAGCCAAAATACCCCCAACTCTTCCCTACCCGACTCAAATCATCCAGGCAGACCGGGGACTGTCCCAACAATAGATCCTCGCCCAGTTCACACGTGCAGACGTCGCCCTCTCGTCCAGGGACAGAGTGTCCTTCAGATATTGAAAATCCCCCTGACTGGAGATGAAAATATTAACGTCATCTGCATAAGCAGAGATTGTAGGGATGGTTCAATGCTGGGGCAAAGAGAGAACAAAACACTGTGCACCCTGATACAACAAACCAACCAAAGACATATCACCAAAGCCAAAAGCCCTGAGCACATATTAAAAGCCTAGTGTGTGAGTCAGTATTACCAAAATGGTGGCCACCATAGTTTCTCCATAACTCCTCTTCCGAAACCAAAGGTGAATCTTCTCTTAGTGACTATTCACTTAATGTCTCCTTTCCCAGTGACTATTCACTCAATGTCTCCTCTCCCAGTGACTCTTCACTCAATGACATCTGTTTTTCTGGTCCTCCTCTCAGGTCTCCTTGAGTCATGACGTCTCAAGAGGAGGCTTCTTCCTTCAGGAGGTTTTTTCAGTATGTGGAGGACAGCGGCCTTCGAACCTATGACGGTCTGGTGATCCAAAATGCTTCAGATATTGCCAGAGAGAGCGACCGCATCCGCAACCAGACTAACTGGGCCTACCTGCAGGAGAAACACCAGAAAAAGAGACGGCAGGAAGATGCCATCAAGAGGTGAGAAACAGAAACACTTGTTCCCTCCTCAGTGCTCTGTCTGGCTGTCCCTTGACCCTCATTGCTCTGTACCCCTGTCCCCTGCCCCTCAGTGCTCTGTCTGGCTGTCCCCTGCCCCTCAGTGCTCTGTCTGGCTGTCCCTTGACCCTCATTGCTCTGTACCCCTGTCCCTTGACCCTCAGTACTCTGTCTGGCTGTCCCTTGACCCTCAGTGCTCTGTCTGGCTGTCCCTTGACCCTCATTGCTCTGTCTGGCTGTCCCCTGCCCTTCAGTGCTCTGTCTGGCTGTCCCTTGACCCTCAGTGCTCTGTCTGGCTGTCCCTTGACCCTCATTGCTCTGTCTGGCTGTCCCCTGCCCTTCAGTGCTCTGTCTGGCTGTCCCTTGACCCTCAGTGCTCTGTCTGGCTGTCCCCTGCCCCTCAGCGCTCTGTCTGGCTGTCCCTTGACCCTCAGCGCTCTGTCTGGCTGTCCCTTGACCCTCAGCGCTCTGTCTGGCTGTCTCCTGCCCCTCAGCGCTCTGTCTGGCTGTCCCTTGACCCTCAGTGCTCTGTCTGGCTGTCCCTTGACCCTCAGTGCTCTGTCTGGCTGTCCCTTGACCCTCAGCGCTCTGTCTGGCTGTCCCTTGACCCTCAGCGCTCTGTCTGGCTGTCCCTTGACCCTCAGCGCTCTGTCTGGCTGTCCCTTGACCCTCAGTGCTCTGTCTGGCTGTCCCCTGCCCCTCAGTACTCTGTCTGGCTGTCCTGAGGGGAGTAGGGTTAGATGGATTTTTAGTGGATGTGTGAGGTCTTTTTTGAGGTTGTAATGCATGTAACAGCCCTGTTGTTGAGTTCCATTAGGTTGGATGTTGGGACACCGAATAGTGTGTCCTTTTATTTCAACAGGTAACATATCGAAGAAGCAGGTGGAACAGTAGAGGTGGAACAGTACAGCAGGATTGATTGGATCAGGCTATATAGAGCAGCAGGAGAAGATGGAGGGCATCAAAAAGTCTTTTCCGTTTGCAGAGGTTCAAACCTTTAAAATAAACAAGTAATGATAAATAAATAGAAAGGGGGCCTTTGATTGGTTGGGATGAATATAATACAAGGTGTTTGATGACTCAATGTTATTCGTCATTTCCAATTTATTCAAACACACCTTTTATAGAAGAGATGCAGCTGCTTAACATTCAGGGAAAAGGGAGTGAGCACACTGGTTTATTGTCAAAACCAAGAAAATCCACACACACATGAAGACATCTCAAACTCAAGGCAGGAAAACCACAGTTTAATAACATGTTCTATTGAAGTTACAGGAAACTTAAAGTATCTAGAAGTTTTAGAATAAAGGTCTTCCAAAGCAGCAGGCATTACTGAAAGAGGGCGCCATATCTCCAAAACGCCTCACAACTGAAGCAGTAGGGTTGTGCTCCATTCAGTTTCTGACAACATGAAGGGAGTCTGTGTTTTATACAGTTCTAGTTGATTGGTTGATAATAAATGGCTCAACTCTTTTTATTTTTTCCAATTGGTCTATTCAGGATAAGCGAAGATGTTGCCATGGCAACAGAAGGGACGTACTCTGGGAAACATTTCAGGATGGGTTTCATGACAATGCCAGCACCACAGGATCGTCTGCCCCCTCCCAGTCAGGGCTTCACTGTCCGATCACAGTCCCTCCACTCAGTGGGGGGCGGAGACGACGACTCCAACCAAAACCCCAAATTACCCCCACCCAAACCCCGGAGAGACCCCAACACCAAACTGACCGACAGCTCCGAGACCATGAATGGCTCTGCACCAGCAAGTAGGAAGGACTCCCACGACACCAGAGAGATTGTGGAGCATGCTGAAGGTAAGAACGCAGCAAAATGCCTGCTGGTGAAGCCTGACACCTGTAGGTTAAACCTGACACCTGCTGGTAAAAACTAACAACTGCTGGTAATAGCTGATACTTGCAGGTGAAAACAAATGTGGTTAGTAACTGAGATTTACAGATAGCGACATGCAGTAATATAATGTGAATACAGAGGGGGGGGGGGGGGGGGGAGAGAGAGAGAGGGAGCGATAAAAGCTCAAGGTGCCAGTTCCCCCGGTAGTCTACGCCTAAAGCAGCATAACTAGGAGCTGGTCCATGACTGTGCCAGCCCTAACTATGAGCTTTATCAAAAAGGAATGTTTTACATCTATTCTTGTAAGTACAGAGTGTGTCTGCCTCCCGGACCCTGACTGGTAGATGATTCAAAAAGAGAGGACCTGATAACTGAATGCTCTACCTCCCATAGTACATTTAGAGACTGTAGGTACCACGAGCAGGCCTGATAACTGAAGGCTCTACCTCCCATAGTACATTTAAAGACTGTACCACGAGCAGGCCTGATAACTGAAGGCTCTACCTCCCATAGTACATTTAGAGACTGTACCACGAGCAGGCCTGATAACTGAAGGCTCTACCTCCCATAGTACGTTTAGAGACTGTACCACGAGCAGGCCTGATAACTGAAGGCTCTACCTCCCATAGTACATTTAGAGACTGTACCACGAGCAGGCCTGATAACTGAAGGCTCTACCTCTCATAGTACACTTAGAGACTGTAGGTACCACGAGCAGGCCTGATAACTGAAGGCTCTACCTCCCATAGTACATTTAGAGACCATAGGTACCACTAGCAGGCCTGCATTCTGGGACCGTAATGTTCTCGAGGGACAGTACGGCACTAGTAGCTCCTTAAGATAAGATGGTGTCTGGCCATTTAGAGCTTTGTAAGTGAGAAGAAGGATGTTGAATTCTATTCTAGACTGTATAGGGAGCCAGTGCAGAGAAGCCAACACAGGAGTAATGTGGTCCCTTTTCCGAGTTCTAGTCAGTACACGAGCTGCAGCGTTCTGGACTAGTTGAAGAGTCTTTAGAGACTTGCCAGAGCACCCTGATAAAAGAAAATTACAATAATCCAATCTGGAGGTAACAAATGCATGAACTACTGCATCGTTTTGCGACAGGATATTCCTGATCTTGGATATATTACGAAGGTGAAAATAGGCTGTCCTTGAAATTTGCCTGATGTGAGAGTTAAAAGACATATCTTGATCAAATAGAACTCCTAGATTCCTAACAGTGGTGCTAGATGCCAGGCTGATGTCATTAAGGACAGTCAAATCACTAGAAAAAGTCTCTCTGAGGTTCTTAGGGCCTAGCACAATAACTTCAGTCTTGTCTGAGTTAAGTAGCAAAACATTTCTGGTCATCCAGGTCCTAACGTCCTTAAGGGACGTTTCTAGCTGACATAACTGACTGGTGCCATCAGGCTTCATTGATACATAGAGCTGAGTATCATCTGCATAACAATGAAACTGTATGGAGTGTTTCCTCATAATATTTCCCAGAGGAAGCATATATAATGTAAAGAGAATTGGTCCATGCACTGAACCTTGTGGTACTCCATGGCTAACTTTGGTGTGCATAGAGGACTTATCATTAACATGTACAAACTGAGATCGGTCTGATAAGTAGGATTCAAACCAACTTAAAGCAGTCCCTGTAATTCCAAGTCATGCGGCTATACATGTCATCACTGGTCTGATTTGGGAGGGGTCCAAAGAACACTACATGAGATGCGATGTTGCCCGCTCTGACCCCAGGTATACACCTAACTATGCCCGCTGACTTTGCGGAGTTTCAGGTTACATAATTTACATATTAAGCAATACTACAGGTCTGTTGGGCAGTGGGCCCACCAGAGAATAAACCTTCATAGAGGCAAATAAGGTGGTGAACAAACACATCTGGAATGACCTACACAAACACGACAATGGACATCATGTTCCTCACATTCACACCGCCTTGGATGCTTTGTACCTCCTGCAGAGTTTCTCCCCATCAGTGGACATGGTGCCATAGCCATAGTGATGAGGGAAAATGGGAAGAGGTGTTCTGGGCTCAGCATACACCAGTGTGTTGGTGTGGAGTCATCTCTCTAACCCAGACTCCCTCGCCTCCAAAGCTAGACATGAACTACAGGAGTAATTTAACATCTTAATAATTTACACTTTATTGATACCGCGAGGGGAAATTCGTTTTTACACTCTGTCTAGTGAACATGCTACACAAAAATAGAAATACACACACATGCACAAACAGTGGACATGCACTAATGGAGAGGTCTCAGAGTGAGAGGGCTGCCCACAGCGAGCGTTCCTGAGCTGGTGAGGGGGTTAGGTGCCTTGCTCAAGGGCACCTCGGCAGTGCTCAGGAAGTGGACTGGCACCTCTCCAGCTACCAGGCCAATTTCCAGACTTGGCCCGTGCCGGGACGCTAACACCTAACCCTACTTGAACCGGCGACCCTCCGATTCTCAACCCAAGTCCCTACAGACTGAGCTACTGCAGCCCGCTGACATGTATTTTTATTTTTTTTAATATATATGTTTTATTCATTTTTTAACATAACAAACACAGAACAAGACAGCACAGGCGTAGCCAAATTACTGAATAAAAAAATATATATAATATATATATATTTAAAAATAAAAATAATAACATACATGGGTTGTAATAACATATATCAGGGAATAACATATCAGATACAATCTTATCTACCTAAATTACATGTCAAAGGGAAAAACATGACTATGCCGTATTTTTGAAGATAAAGTGTGGACACCCTTTCTGCAATAAGCCAACCAGATCAATGGGAAGATAATCCATGAAGGGCTGCCAAATATTATAAAATAAGTTGTTATTGCCCTTTAATTTAGCACTGAGGTGTTCCATAGGAAAAACCTTAAATGTTTCTCTGTACCACTGCGTGACTGATGGAGGCTTCTCCTGAATCCACTGAAACGATTACATGTAAAGATTTTTCTAGCTGAAACAAAGGTACCTGACCATGACTCAGCACTAAGTTCAACCTCCAAGTCCCTTTCCCATAATTCCCTAGTTCTCTCAACCCTATCACAATTAATAGGATGTAATTTGTCATAAAAAAGGGAAATAATTTTTCTGTTGTTGAGCGCATTTAAACTAAAATTGAGAAGAAAACTTTCAATTGAGCTCAACAATGATTGATCAGTGGGGATAATGAGATCTGATTGGACAAAATGCCTAACTTGGAGAAAACCAAAGAAGTGGCTGTTTGGTATTCTGTATTTGGTCTGGAGTTGATTGAATGACATAAAATCACCATTTTGAAATAAATCAGCCACAAATCTTAGACCCTTTGAATACCAGTCATTGAAAATACTTTTCCCTATACCTGGAGAGAAGGCTTTATTTTGAGTCAGAGGTTTTAATGCTGATGAGAAACCTCTTCGGCCAATGTGTTTAATAATATCTCTCCAGATTCTAAGCGTGCTAAACATGACAGCGTTGTTTTTAACATCTGCTGGCAGTTCGCCAGCGTCAGTTGAGAGGAGACTGAAAGGAGAGAGAGGGGAACAGCACCATGAATCTGTTAGAGGCTCCCCTTGATGTAAAAAATGGTTTAGCCAGCGTGATATTATCCTGCCGTGGCAGGCCCAATTGTAATATAGAAAGTTAAGAAGTGCTTGACCCCCCCTGTCTATTGGCAACTGTAAGGTCTTCATCTTTAGCCTAGATTTCTTGCCATGCCATATAAATTTTGAAAGAGATCTTTCGATATCCAAAATAACTCTTCTATTGATCTTAAGTGGCTGCATTTGCAATCTCCAGATAGGTAAAGCCTGAAATTGACCATCTGAACGGAAAATTAACAAGGGTATCCGGGACACCAAAGTCTCCGAGAGGCAAGGCCTCTGATTTGTCATAATTAATTTTGTAACCTGAAACTTGGCCAAATTGACTTATAATCGATTCCAATACTGGTATGGAGCGCTCTGGATTAGTAATAAACAACAATATATCATCAGCATAGAGCAAGATCCTGTATTCTGTGTCTCCCAATGTGACACCAGAAAAAAAACGGTGGGTTCTAATGGCCTCTGCGAGAGGCTCAAGCGCAAATGCGAATAAAAGCGGCGAAAGGGGACAGCCCTGGCGTGTGCCTCTATTCAGAGGGAACATCTCAGACACTGAACCAGAACTCTTGCAGACGGAGATCTATAAAGGAGCTTAACCCATGTAGTGAAACTAGAACCCAAACCAAACCTGTTAAGGATATCAAATAGATACTCCCACTCCACCCGATCAAAAGCTTTTTCTGCATCCAATGAAACAGCAAGAATCCTTTTCTTTGTATTTTGTGAAAATTGTATAACATTCAGTTGGGGGTCATAATAAGGTGGTAGGAGTTCTGTAGAAACTAATAATGGTTGATGGCCTGCCAGAACAGGGTTAGGCTTAGTTTGGACTGGCTTTCCAGGGTTGTTTTTTCCAAAGTCTCAGAGAGACTTTTTTTTTTCCATAATGTCGCTAAAGTTCTGAGTTACCTCGTGAATTAAAGCTGTGGCGTCCATTGTTGGCAGGGTTTTGCCACCTTCATGCACAGTGCTCGTTTGGCTAGCAGTTGTAGCAGCTGTTGACTTGCATGGTTGAATTTTTGTCTGTTTCGACATCTCTTGTCACTTAAAGGGGTAGCTTTCTTCCCGTGACAAGTTGTTACAACACTGTGTTGACGTAATAAGCTAAACTGGTTACATTAGACCGTCTCAAATATAATTAAAATAGAGTGGGAGCGGGAGCTTGGTGAAAGCACGTCCTCTAGCCAGCCATCGTCACGGGACCCCCCCGCTGACATGTATAGCAGGAGAGACTAGGAGATGGAGAGGCAGAAAAAGAAGCCATCGTAAATTAAGCTAACTGCTAAGCTAGGCTGAGGATAGGTAGCTAAAATAAAGAAAAAGATTTAGCAGATTAGTCGCTAGAGAGCAAGAGTGCTTTTTGATTTAGTTTCCAATAGTTTAAAGAACTGACAGAGTAATGATACAGGCCTGTAGTTGGTGAATTGTTGTCTATATAAAGGAATCACTTTATTTTCTGCTGACAGATAATGTTTACTGGGTTTGCAATACTGTTAATGACACCCTTCACTAATGTCATATTGATTCCTACAGTCAGTAGATGTTTTATTCTTATTTTGTCTATATGTATGATTTAGTTTGTTTCTACCACATCAAGTTAGATTGTGCTTGCATTTCCTGCATAGTTTTCTGAAATTCTTTGTGTGTTTGTGTATGTTTGCGATTTTATCTATGATGGCGCGGTTGTGTCACACATGTATTCAGATCATTACGATAGTTATGATGAATGCTGAATATGATGATGATGTAATGTGACAGGTTAAACCTGACTCATGTCTTAAAGGGACAGTACCTGACTCAGACTGTACAGAATGAAGTGATGGAGCCGCCAGCTCCTTAGCTCTTAATATTTTTGTCTGTCTGCAGCTAAATGCCACCTTTATAGTGAAGACTTCAAGAAGATGCCTCCACCTAAACCCAAACGGAACCCAAACACTCAGCTCAGCACCTCTTTTGATGAATCTTACATACGTAGCCATGGAAGCAAGAAATCGTCATTGCGTTGGGACAGTTCGTTGTCTCAGAGTCAGAGTCCTGCGTCTCGAGATACGGATGATGAGGAACCGGTCTACATTGAGATGGTGGGAAACATCCTGCGAGAGGTTAAATGTCAGGAAGCTTTGGAGGACGAGCAGAATGAGTCTGTGTATGAGGAGATGAAGTACCCGATGGAGGACTTCCTGCAGGAGGCCCACTCTGCATTCATGGATCCTGAAGGATGGTCATCTCGGGACTCTATTTTTGACATTCCTCCACCCTTCCCCAACCTCCTGACCCACCGCCCACCGCTGCTCGTCTTCCCCCCTGCTCCCGCTCAATGCTCCCCGAATTCTGATGAGTCCCCCCTGACCCCTTTAGAAGTCACCCGCCTACCCATGATGGATAACGTCTCATACAGTAAGTCGGGCGGTGTCGAACAGGCACAGACCTCCAGCCACCACCGGAAAGAAAAAGACCGGCATCAGGACAGAGAACAAAACAGAGAAAGGGATCTAACCTCCACCCACACCATCACTTCCTCTGGCCGCTCATCTGCACCGCCCCTCCCCTCAAACCTTTATAAGTCCTCTAATTCAGCCCACGGTGGTCATGGTTACCCCCGCAGCCAATCAGCATGCCCATCTCCAGTGAGCATGGGTCGCTCTCTGACTCCTCTAAGCTTAAAGAGACCACCACCCTACGATGTTCTGATGGCAGGAGGAAGCATGCCTCGCTCGTCCTCTTCATCTTCCTCCTCCTCCCAAAGGGCAGGAGAAGGCGGGGCCAAACTCAGTAACTCCTCCTCTACCCACGGCTCCATGCAGAACGTGTCGATGAGGTCACAAACTCCAACAAGCCCATTGGATGATCTCAACAACATGTTTACATCAGGGAGAAAGGTGATGAAGAAAGGCAGCAGGAAAAGCCGCAACAGTGAAGGTAAATACTGCATCAGTACTTCATTAGTACATGACCTAACCCAAGTACATTATCTGAACAAGTTAATTCTGATCCTGAACAAGTTAAACCTGATCCTGAACAGGTTTGATCTTTCATATTTGATGGTTTTAGTCTCACAAACAGTCGATGTGTTATTGCTCCATTGCTTTGCAGGAGACTCCAGATCTCTTCCCAGACAGCATAGTAAAGACAGAGACGGACAGTCCAGTCCAGTGTCAGGCAGGATGGGGAGATCATCCGTCAGCCCCACCATGATGCTGTGTGGAGGAGGAGCAGGAGGAGGAGGAGGAGCAGGTGAGTTATTGCTCATATTAACTGTGAGGATAATAACAGGAGGTCAGAGGTCGGGTAGGTTATTTGTCTGCCTTCACTGACCCTGACCTCAGAGATAATACTGAGTTTCTCTGAGTGCGTTCAGATAAAGGGGCAGATATCAGATATCAGTCTCTATTGTAGGATGATCCCTTGTAGAACTAATCATATCTTTGATACAAAACGTGAAAGAAACACAAAGACTCTGTCTCTCACTCAACATCAGCTCACACACCTCTGTGATCTGATTGGTCAGTCGGCAGTTTCATGCAGTTTGATTTCTTATCCTGAACATAACCTGCTCCGGGGCAGATCAGGTGTTCATAGTCTTGAAGACTCAGAGTTAACCCTGAAGTTACCATGGCGACAGAACCTGAGCTAAGTCTTACCTGTCAGGACGACCACAATGTTTCTTTCCCATGCAGAATCAAAGTCGGCTTGTAAACTCGGCCGATCAGCTTCAACGTCAGGAGTACCTTCCCCAGGTGGGACGCCACAACGCCATCAGCAGCTCCACCCCGCCCTCAGCCAGGTAACACACCTGTGAAACAGCTATTTGTCAATTCTACCTGTCTGTCTGTCCAATGTCTGTTTGTCTCTATGTCTGTTTAATTGTCTGTCTGTCTGTCTGTCTGTCTGTCTGTCTGTCTGTCTGTCTGTCTGTCTGTCTGTGTGTCTGTCTGTCTGTCTGTCTGTCTGTGTGTCTGTGTGTCTGTGTGTCTGTCTGTGTGTGTGTGTCTGTGTGTGTGTGTGTGTGTGTGTGTGTGTGTGTGTGTCTGTGTCTGTGTGTGTGTGTGTCTGTCTGTCTGTCTGACTGTCTGTCTGTGTGTCTGTGTGTCTGTCTGTGTGTCTGTCTGTCTCTATGTCTGTCTGTCTGTCTGTGTGTCTGTGTGTCTGTCTGTCTGTCTGTGTGTCTGTGTGTCTGTCTGTCTGTCTGTGTGTCTCTGTGTCTGTCTGTTTAACTGTCTGCCTGATCATACATAAAAACTAAATGTACATCTCTTCACCCAGGATTGAACTTTAACAACAATCAACTGACAGAACAATGAAAAGTAAACAAGTAAATATTTGATCAAGTCAATATATAAACAACAAAACTTGAGTAAACATGTGATTGAGTAAATATATGATCTATTAAAGTAAACATGTAAACAAGTAAACATGTTTACCGATGTAAACTTGATCATGTAAACAAAAGGCAAAAAAAAGAAGGACCGCTCTACTAGAGTGAAACCAGAACATTTAGAGCTCCCCCTGCTGTGATCATGTAAACATGTGATCCTGTAAACATGTGATCCTGTAAACATATGATCATGTAAACATGTGATCAGGTAAACATGTGATCGTGTAAACATGTGATTGTGTAAACATATGATCGTGTAAACATGTGATCATGTGATTGTGTATACATGTCATCCTGTAAACATATGATCATGTAAACATGTGATCAGGTAAACATGTGATCGTGTAAACATGTGATCCTGTAAACATATGATCATGTAAACATGTGATCAGGTAAACATGTGATCGTGTATACATGTGATCGTGTAAACATGTCATCGTGTAAACATGTGATTGTGTATACATGTCATCGTGTAAACATGTGATCATGTCATCGTGTATACATGTGATCGTGTAAACATGTGATTGTGTATACATGTCATCGTGTAAACATGTGATCATGTCATCGTGTATACATGTGATCGTGTAAACATGTCATCGTGTAAACATGTGATCATGTCATCGTGTATACATGTGATCGTGTAAATATGTGATCATGTAAACATGTGATTGTGTAAACATGTCATCGTGTAAACATGTGATCATGTAAACATGTGATCATGTCATCGTGTATACATGTGATTGTGTAAACATGTCATCGTGTATACATGTGATCATGTGATTGTGTAAACATGTGATTGTGTAAACATGTGATCATGTAAACATGTGATTGTGTAAACATGTCATCGTGTAAACATGTGATCATGTCATTGTGTAAACATGTGATTGTGTAAACATGTCATCGTGTAAACATGTGATCATGTCATTGTGTAAACATGTCATTGTGTAAACATGTCATCGTGTAAACATGTGATCATGTCATTGTGTATACATGTCATCGTGTAAACATGTGATTGTGTAAACATGTGATCGTGTAAACATGTGATTGTGTAAACATGTGATCGTGTAAACATGTGATTGTGTATCCATGTCATCGTGTATACATGTCATCATGTAAACATGTGATCGTGTAAACATGTGATCGTGTAAACATGTGATCGTGTAAACATGTGATTGTGTAAACATGTCATCGTGTATACATGTGATCCTGTAAACATGTGATCGTGTAAACATGTGATCGTGTAAACATGTGATTGTGTAAACATGTGATCGTGTAAACATGTGATCCTGTAAACATGTGATCGTGTAAACATGTGATTGTGTAAACATGTCATCGTGTAAACATGTGATCATGTAAACATGTGATCGTGTAAACATGTGATCGTGTAAACATGTGATTGTGTAAACATGTGATCGTGTAAACATGTGATCATGTAAACATGTCATCCTGTAAACATGTCATCGTGTAAACATGTGATCATGTAAACATGTGATTGTGTAAACATGTCATCGTGTAAACATGCTATCATGTAAACATATGATTGTGTAAACATGTCATCGTGTATACATGTCATTGTGTAAACATGCTATCATGTAAACATGCTATCATGTAAACATGTGATTGTGTAAACATGTCATCGTGTAAACATGTGATTGTGCAAACATGTCACCGTGTAAACATGCTATCATGTAAACATGTGATCTTGTAAACATGTGATCATGTATACATGTAATTGTGTA